TGAATAGCTATAGGATGGCTTGTATGTTTGGTGCGGTAGGGGGCCCAACCTCATATTCTTTCATAGGTACCAAAATTGCTAGCGGCGCCCCTGGCTGTGTGACATTACTACAGTTCTTTTTGACCACGCAGTCACACAAAAGGGTTACTGTTAGGAAAGTTTTCAGGAAAAAATACTCAGCAAAGATTTTTGTTGAATTTCACATTACTTTCTCATTGATTTATCATCAAAGTGAATTTGTCATACAAGTGAGAAACATACTAGTGGCTTTTTGGTTAAAAGTTATTGAGAAGGAAGAGAATATAATAAACCGCTGATGATGTTTGAAGTTTCATAGTTTGTGGTTGCAAGTGTGTAACTTGCAAAGCAAACTGAATTTGCTGAATATATTATCAAAGTATTAAAAATCTATTCTTTGCACAAAGCACACAAATAATTGACAACAATAACACAAGTGTATGGTAACACATTTCTATTTTCTCAGTTTGGATTCTGCTCATTTCTGCTTGATGTTACATTTGCTTTTAATGTTACTATTATGCCACTTTCTACATCGCTTTCCAAACTGAGGCTATAAAGTTTAGACCTCACAAAGAGATCCAATATGGGGCCAAATAAAATAGCATGGTTTGACAACAAGTCAGCAGTCCACTTATTCGAACAACCCAGTGCGTTTCTAACCCACCTGTGAGTCTAACCCATGAGCCTATTTTCAAAAATAGTGTTCCTTTAAGCCTCCTCATCTGAGCTGCCTCAGCTGTCACCTCTCAAAAAATATTTGAGATGACCAATCAAATCAAAGTAGGCGGCCTTTATGTTCACAGAAGCTGCATAGCGCGAATTTCAAGTTCAACGCGACAGTTAGCGGCTATCCACCTTTTTCTTCAACGCGGAAGTAGAGACTTCCGGTTCATTAGCCGCGATAGGTAAATAAAGAGGAGAATAACAATGTGAAGTAAACAGTAAAACTGTTTGCACTACAAACCAGTGTGTTCATAATTAAGATAATACATTAAAATAATATGATAAGACACACCAACTTTCAATATCAAGCAGCAAAACGAACTGTTTTGTTCAGCTAAAAATAGCTGGACGGAGTGGACGCAGATGAGAACAGAAGCCAGACCCATAGAATTTACAAATGGCCCATTTTACGACAAGAAAAAGGTGGATAAAGTGCGGGATAAGATTTAAGTAGCCAAACATTTCATATCTGACCACTGTTTTATGATAGAAATGTTAAATGTGGTTGGTTCGAATGCCAAATTTCTAAAGAGTTTAACACCTACAGATGTAATTTATATTCACGTTTTTTGCTCCTTGGGAAACTAATGATAATGATATTTCAAGTCCAGTCAACTCAAATGTCATGAATGTCATATGGCATTCAATTACATGCTTGTAAAATTATATATGAGCTAAATAAATGCTTTGAAAATATACATGATAAATAATATATACACCACCATTCAAAAAGGGGTCAGTGAATTATTTTAAAGGGTTTGAAAAAAATCTCTTCTGCTCAGCAAGGCTGCATTTATTTGATCAAAAACACAGTAAAAACAGTAAATCTACCATTTGAAAGAACTGCTTTCTGTTTGAATATATTTTAAAATGCTTGTCATGCTAAAGCTTCATTGCTTCATTACTCAATGTCACATGATCCTTCAGAAATCATGCTGATCTCAAGAAACCTTTTTTTTTTTTTTTGACTCTCAAGTGCCAGTAGCTGCTGACCTGCCATTAATGAATCGCCAAGGACGACGGTTTCAGCTAAAAATCTTCTCAACTGTTCAACTGAAGAAAAAAAACTCACCTACATCTCGGATGGCCTGTGGTGAGTAAATTAACAGTAAATGTTCATTTTGGGGGGAACTATGCCTTTAAGACAGTGACTTGCCTCCACCTACAGGCGGTTTTATTTTCATATTTGAAGTATTGTTTTCATAGTTCAATATTCAACATATTTTATATATATCTTATATTTTTTATTTAAATTATTTATATTTAAATACTAAATTCTCATAACACTATTTATGCTATTGTAACTGCAGTGTAAATGTATTTATGGTATCTCTGAATAGCATTGTGTAAATAAATCTAAATGCCACTTTAGGTGTTGCTTCTGTGCCATTTAAACAACAATGGATTTTGTTGATACTTATAGTATTTGATTGCTGTCAGCCCTATAGTGTCTTATTATTCTAAATAAATGTAAGAATTGGAATAAATTTATATTAAATAAATGTAATAAGGTTAGAAAATTCCCTTATAAAAGTAAATCAATTGCCCCTGGAAATCAGTTTAAAGGTGCTATAGAATGCATTGATACAATATTTTAAATTGTTCTCTGATATATACATAGAAGGTATGTGGCTTAGGTAAGGGCAAAAAACTCCAGAAACGGTTTTACATGTCCATTTACAACCCTAGGATTTGTCCCTAGAACGAAATGGTCAGTTTTTACCTTATTTGGAAGGGTCATGAATAATAATGTAAAGCTCTGCTCTGATTGGCTGTTTCACAGTGCGGCTCAATGTTGAGCTTTGCTCTGATTGGCTGTTTCACAGTGCAGCTCATTTAAGTAGCTCACACAGCAGGAAGGAAACACAGGGAAATATATATATTTCAATACTGCCTCTCGCAGTTATATCGTTGGGTAATTATACTGTATATAAAATGCAGGTATCAGGGAGCTGCTATTAATATGCAAGGCATTGAAACTGCTTTCCAATGCACGATCGCTTTTTACTTTCACTTTCAAGATTTACGATCGCACGTGCTCTGTGTAAACTACAGCGGCAGTACTTACCACACATTTTACAAGATCAGATGCTTGTCAGTGGTGCTCAGGATCTGTATATCATTTGCCATCATCCTCAGTCATCTCTCCTTACTCTGTTTATGTGGTAAGTGAAATCGTATGTACTGTAATGTAACAGGCTACCTCTAGCATGCAGCTAACCATGTCCCTTTAGTGGCTAGCTAGAAGCTTTATTTGTTTTCCCTGCTTTTCTGAATACAGACAGAACCCATCCCTGCACTTCACATCCCCTGCACAGCCTGGAACATAACGTTTATTTCCATGATCTGCCATTTTCGCTATTATCCTCGCTTGTTTCTTCACAATACCTGCAGAAGTTTTTCGGCTGTGCTGGCGGCTGGCATAGAACATGGGCGGTTATATGCAAATGTTAGGGGCGTAACTATTAGTGATCCCGACTGTAACGTCACAGTCGGTGTTATGTTCTGATTCACCTATTTTTCAGTGGTCTTTTGGAGATTTACAATTTACAGAGGAAACAATGGTGTTTGAGGCTCACGGTATGTCATTTCCATGTACACAACTGTTATTATTCAACTATGCCCAGGTAAATGCAGTTTTCCATTCTATGGCACCTTTAAGAAATAAAATATCACCCCAAAATAAATTAAAAAAAGGTTATCCTCGCTTGTTTCTTCACAATACCTCCTGAACTTCTGATGATTCGGCTGTGCAGGTTCGGCTGACGGCTGGCATAGAACATGGGCGGGTATATGCAAATGTTGGGGGCGTAACTATTAGTGATCCCGACTATAACGTCACAGTGGTCTTTTGCATTCTCGAGATTTACATAAAAAGGAGGGAAAAATGGTGTTTGAGGCTCACGATATGTCATTTCCATGTACAGAACTGTTATTATTCAACTATGCCCAGGTAAATGCAGTTTTCCATTCTATGGCACCTTTAAGAAATAAAATATCACCACAAAATAAATTAAAAAAAGGTTATTTCTGTCACTGCTCATAGGTTTAGGATTATTTTTCAGTTTTTGTCCTACCTTTACTGAATCCCACAAATTGTCCTCAATTTTGGTTTTACAGAAATGGCCACCCTATATGTCATGGCAAAAATTATATTATAAATGATATTAAATTATATTATATACGTTGCATTATATCATATATATATAAATGGTATGCATTGCGGTTATACAGTAAATATAAATGAGAAAAATTAAAGTAGTTTTAAACTCTAGAGGGCAAAAAAAAAAAAAACACATCCAGTGCAATATGTCAGGATGGCCGAGCGGTGGCGCTCAGGTCGCAGTCTCCCCTGGAGGCCTGGGTTCGAATCTCACTTCTGACAACAATGTTTTTTTTCCAGTAGGTCAACATGACAGTTCCCAGCTGACGCATGCTCAGCAGAGCGACCAAAGGCCATTTCATACCTCATAGAGAGTAGAGTACCGAAACAACAAAACTAGCAAAAATACACGACATGAAAGTTTTACATTGGTCGCTGCAGACAAGTGGCCAAAGATGAACTAAGGCAATGACTGCAGTACAAAAACGACTGTTGTGCAGGTTAGTGAAGAATGAAAGACGTTAATGAATGAATCTTTATCTTTTTTTTATAAAGTGAGTGGTTCAAAGCAAGGAATGCAATGAGCATTGCATATAGGAAGAGTATTCTGCATATAATAAATAGTTTAATAATTTAATTATGAATGTTAAAACTAGCCATTACTTACACAACACAGATGTAAATATTTATACAAAGCCACAATACAATGATTTTATGATTTTTTTCCCCCTTTAACTTTTATTATGATACAGCTTCATTAATAAAATGTGTGAAATTTGGTTTGTAAAATTGCCAATTTTTTCTTAACCTTACTAAATATTATTAACAGCTGTACTATGTATTTATTTTCAATGCAAAATGTCATGTTTCAAATAAAATGTCACATCAGATACACTAATCCTTCCCACACATCCCAGTCTTATTCCAATATATTTTTTTCACATTTTTCAAGAACAATATTCAATAGAAACAATAATAAAACAAATGTTACATTGAACATATACAAAGTAGATTAACATACTTTTTTATTACTTCGTCATTAATATAAATGTATTTTATCTTTTGATGTATTTTTTAAGAAATTCAGTAACGTTATATGATAGCACATAAACACTTTAATTGAGCAGCAGCCAAACAACTTTATTTCAAAACAGGTCTTGTTTTGTGTCACGCACGTGACGTCCCCCCGCGTCGGCCCGTGACGCTGCGTCTCTTTGTTGGCCCAGCAGCAGCGTCGCTCCTCTGTTGTTGTTTTCTCTGCTGCTAAAAAAGCTGGAATGCTAGCAAGCTAAAGAAGTATTCTCGTTTTGTTTTGCTCTGTCTGCCAAATAATACACATCAAACATATCCCACTTGGTGTGTCGCTACATTAAACGCAGCCCAGTCATGGACTCGGACGAGGGTTACAATTACGAATTTGACGACGAGGAAGAGGAATGCAGCGAAGACAGCGGCGAAGAGGAGACCGCGGACGACACCCTGGAGCTCGGCGAGGTGGAGTTGGTTGATCCCGTTGTGGCCGGCGGAGAGCGAGACGACTGCGGGGAGACGGGAGGCAGCGGCCTCGGGCCCGGTCAGGATGAGGAAGATTACCGCTTTGAAGTTCTAACCGCCGAACAGATCCTGCAGCATATGGTGGAGTGTATCAGGGAGGTCAACGAGGTCATACAGGTAAGTATTTTTAGGGCTTCCCCTGAGCTTAGATCACCCTGGATTACCCGTTATAATAAAAGAGGAGATTTTTACATTGCTCTGGGAAACTTTGCCCCCCGTTGACAACACGAGAGACATGAAAAATGCATCAGCTGTCCTTTGAACCAAACTGATTTTAAAACCATCGTTGGTACGTCGACAAGATAAATATATGGTCATGATCACAGATATGAATGAGAAGGTTTGCGTCAGCCTAGCCTTTTCCCTGTCCTTAACACATCCAGTAATGACATAAGATGCTTAACTAGCTTCTAGTTAACTTGCATACAAAATCAGACCGATAAGTCCCATTATATGCGCTTTGCTTAAACAAAACTACATTTGCATTGCCGAAATCTTTGCATTTTAACATATGACAACCCACGTCACATATAAAGTAAAATAATAATATTGTAAATCACTCACATTTTTATTAGAACCCCTTATTCCTGGTCATACTAGCTTTGTAAGCTAACCACGAGCATACAACCCAAATTTAAGTACACCAGAGACTACGCTTAAACAAAACTACATTTGCATTGCCGAAATCTTTGCATTTTAACATATGACAACCCACGTCACATATAAAGTAAAATAATAATATTGTAAATCACTCCATTTTTATTAGAACCCCTTATTCCTGGTCACACTAGCTTTGTAAGCTAACCACGAGCATACAACCCAAATTTAAGTACACCAGAGACTATATTGCGACGTGTTCATAGGTTTTCAGGGGAGGTTGTTGCTAGTCTGATGAAGAAGAAGGTGTCTTCTTCGTTCTCTGTTAAGCTGGGATATGGGGTAGGTCGCGTTAGCATGTGAGAGTTACCTAGTTGCTCCCGACAACAACATGGCGGAGCCTATGCTTCATCATGGTTGGTTATGTTTGATTAAAGAGCACAAAAATAGCCCAGCAAAGTGAATTTGAGTAATGATTTATTTTTGCTTTCTGCTGCAGTGTCATAGCCACAGGCTGTTTGGAGTATCAACTGTCTCCTGAAGCTCGACATTTCACTCTGCGTCCCGCAGTTTTGTTTTGTTTATGCTGGTTAATTTCCAGATTGTGTGCTAATTGATTAGATTTGCTCGTTCTGTGCCGTCAGCAAATGCATTTTGTTGTGTTTACATGCTGTTTCTGTGATAAGTTGAAGTGTTTAATGCTGTGGCTCACTTCATACCTATATATTTCTATTTTAAGAGTATCTGCTGTGTGTTTGTCCCAGTACAGTTCAAGCTTGTTCTAGAAGACCTGCCTTACATTTTCAACAGAACGGAAAGAAGACTTTGGTTTAGTTGAGGAACGTCGAGTTAGGGTGGTTGCACATCCAGAAGGTTATGGTGGTCACGTCTCCCAGCATCCCTCTGGACTGTCTGTCAATATGCTCCTTTGACATGTCAGCCCAAATAACCTTTTTGGAGTACTGTAGTTCAGGCTTTCTCTCCCTGACGGGCAAGGAGGAACTCTGTTGTCTAAACACAGTGGAAATCACATCATTGCTGCTCTTTGGAGTGTTGTTGTTCATGACACCAGCTAGCAGTTATTTAGGCTTTAATTAGTAATTTGTCACATAATAATAATAATGGCTGTAATCAATATCAAGTGGCTACTGTTCAAACATTTGGGGTCTTTTATGCTCACCAAGGCTGCATTTATTTGATCAAAAATACATTATAGTAACAGTAATATTGTGCAGTGTTATTATTATGTTAGAGTTGCTCATTCTGTGCTGTCAGAAAATGCCATTTAAAATAACCTTTTTCTAATTTAATATACTTTAAAAAAGTTATTTATTAATTTGATGGCACAGTTGATTTTTTTTTTCAGTGTAACGTGATCTTTCTAATACGCTGATTTGATGCTCAAGAAACATTTCTTCCTATTTTCACATTCGAAAACAGTTCTACTGCTTAAAAAGCTTAAAAGAACAGCATTTATTTGAAATTGATTTTTTGCAAGTGTAATTTTTGATTAATTTAGTGCATCCTTGCATTCGTTTCTTTAAAAATGTACAGACCCCAAATTATACCGTAGTGTATTTAATGTATTTACATCCATTCTACAGAATTCTGTATATTTCCTCAGAAAATCGGCGCATTAGATGCAACGTCTGCAGATTCCATCTGTACCTGGTTGTTTCAGTGAATCTGTTGAATCGCATGGCAGTGTGAACAGATTGTTTACCACTTGGACTGGACGCTGTTGCGTTGTGGGATATGTGAAAGTGGTATGCAGTATTATTTTGACATATCTGTGTTTTCATGTTTGCCACTCTGTGAAGGAAGGATTTCTAATGAGCTCCTTTCACCAGTAAGCTCTTCACTGGATTACTCATATTGTATACCAAGCAACTGAGGAGAGGAACAGGCGGGTCTTTGGATTTGCAGGGAACCTTGAGAAATGTGTGTGTGTGTGTCAGTGAAAGGATGGCATGCTTGCATGCATGCATGCATGTATTGTTTTGATCGGCTTTATCATGAGAGCCAGCAACTGTCTGAAAGAAAACTCTGGATTAAGCAGCAGGGATTTGGAAACTGTTCTATTTATTGCTTTGAATCGAGACTATGAACTATTTAACTGTAGCGTCAACCAGGAAGTCCCTGTCTCACGGCTTGTCTGCTTAAAACAAAGGATCAGTTGGGGCCACATGATACAGCAAACTTATCAGTTTGATGTTGAGAGTTATGCTTAACTAAGAGCTTTAATCAGATTGTGAATGTGTTTAAAGTATCAGTTTATTAGGACATTCAGTTTGACCAAATTGTCATTTCTATGTTAATGTGTTGCTTCATAAAGCTGACCACCACTCAGTTCCCATGAGATGTTCCCTAAATACCATTAGCGCTGCACAGTGCTGTTAAACTAGTTGAGGTATTGTTGTAAGCAATGCTCTGCTTGCGTCAGTCCTACCACAAATATTAAGCTGATTTGTTCTTGCCACGTTGTCTGTTGTCCCAAGAGAGAGAACCAGGCATTTCCTACCGGGGGGCCTGAGACTGTAAAACGCATGACAAAGGGATGCGTTGTAGGAGCGGTAGATAATCACTACGGCTGACTCTTCTGTCACCTGTTCAGAAGTCAGAACTGATTTGTAAGATCCCTATCTGAGCCAAAAAAGGATGTTGGTTGTATCGATCTGTTGAAGAGAACAACAAGGCTCATTGTGTTTCATGGGCACCCAACACTGGATAGCTGTTAGCTAGGATTTGTTTCATTGCTTTTTTTTGGTTTAATGTTTTTCAGTGTTTGTTATTTGTATCCTGTGTTACTGAGTTATTGTTGCAAGATCCACTCTAAAAGAAGAAATGTATTACATTTATTATTGACTATTGGAAATAGACATTTACACTGTTTTTAGAAGTTTCTTGTGTTATTAATTGTAACTTTCCCAAAATGTGGATTTGGTGTTGGTTGTTCTTTTGCAGTACTTCACTGGTCTGGAATGTGGGCACAAGTTCTGCATGCAGTGCTGGGGTGATTACTTAACCACCAAAATCATAGAGGAAGGAATGGGACAGGTACATATTCCAACTCTTAGTACATAGAACCTTTGTCATGATACCAAAATTTCAGTAATTGTGTCTAATACCAGTGAAATTTTGTGATTCACAATGCCACAGAAACAACTAATACAAACACCACTTTATTTAAAAAGTTAGAGTAGTAAACAAAATTAATAATACACACTACATTTCAAAAGTCTGGGGTCGATAAGATTGATTTATTTTTCCTGAAAGAAGTCTCTTATGTTCACCAAGACAGCAATTATTTGATTAAAAATACAGTAAAAACAGCAATATTTGTGAAATATTAAAATTTGAAATAAAATTGTATTTTAACATGTAATATATTCCTGTGATGACAAAGCTGAATTTTCAGCAGCCATTACTCCAGTCTTCAGTGTCACATGATCCTTCAGAAATTATTCTAATATGCTGATTTGATGCTCAAAAACATTTATTATTATTGTCAATGTAGAAAACTACATTATTATTATTTTTTTTACATTTTGTGGAAACTATGATATATATCTGTAATTGCTAAATCTGCTTGTAATTGTGAAGTTAACTGCCTTTGGGGGCAAAAAGTAAATAGCGGTGTCAATATTGCTTGCTTAATATTATAAACAATTTGCAGCCACTGCATTTACACTGTGAATGCTCTTTGGAGAGCACACGCGCAAATACGCTTGAGGTAGTAGCCTGTCAATCTGATGGGCTGATGTACATGTTGCAGCTATTTCATATTTAGGTATTGAACTATTCATACTGGCTATAGCAGATTTTTTCTGTGCCAACTGACATTTTGTCTGTTTTTCTGACCTATTGTAACACAAGCTTGTTTGTTTCCGCTCTAGACCATTTCTTGTCCTGCTCATAGCTGTGATATTTTGGTGGATGACAGCACAGTCATGTAAGTGTTTGTGAAAGGAATATTTATAGAAAGACTTAAGTAAATTATTTTGTGTTGTTTGAAGGAAAGTAAGTTCTCTCTGCGGCCACACTTTTTATGTAGGCAGTTGGTTTAAAAAACAAACAATATATTAATCGCAGTATTGAAATTGTTTTAAGAATTACATTAAAATTTCTCCCATTTATTTTTCTAAGAGTAGTCTATCTCCACTCCCTTATAGGGTCTCTGTCTCATGTCACCATTGCTTGTGATATACTGTACGAAAGCCTTGTTGAGTTCATTATTCTTAGCTCAGTGTCCTGAAGTATATTTTGCCTATCCTAGATGAGCTGATAGTGTTTATTTCTAGTCAGAAGTTGGACACTCTGTTACCCTGTCTTGTTGGAGGTATGAGTCACAACACGGCACATCCTGTCGATTCAGTTAGATTATTTGGGATATGCACAGCTGTCTTAACTTACATATGATCTCCCTGCTGCTTTTGTGATGCAGGTACAGGGTCTGATCTTTTTGTATGCACTTTGTACCCTTTGGTGGAAAATAAATATAGGATTTAAGCATGTATGTCTGTTTTTCCGTGAACTAAATATATCTCAATTATTTCAACAGGCGACTAATTACAGATTCAAAAGTGAAGTTGAAGTACCAGCATTTAATAACCAATAGTTTTGTAGAGGTATGATTTAATTCCATTCTGTTATATAGTGTGGTCGAAAAGTCTGATACCACATAGAAAATATGTTTTGTTTTTTTTAAACCTGCAAATAAATACAAATTTTAAGGTATCGGCCAATTTAAAATAAAGTTTATTGAAACAAGACATTGATCAAATAATGCTTGATAAAAATGAATCATCAGCATTCAGTTGTTTCACTTGTGATTTTTGGTTTGTCAATTTGGTTTATTCTGTTCTCTTCCTCTGCAGTGTAACCGACTGTTAAAATGGTGTCCAGCACCTGACTGTCATCACGTTGTCAAAGTACAGTACCCAGATGCCAAACCTGTACGGTGCAAGTGTGGTCGGCAGTTTTGGTAAGACACTGAACTCCTAATGAGATCAAATACTTTTGGAACGTGACCTCAGATCAGTTTTAGGGCTTCCACCAGCTCATGAAAAACCTGATCAAGCCAGTGACACTAGAACCCCGGAGACATGTTCCCTAGATGGCACTGGTAATCTTATCCAGCCGTCACAGCTACTTGTTGATTTTGGGAAGCAAAGACTCCGTTAGAGCAAAGAGTAATTTTATGTATATGTATGTATATATTATGCTCACCATGGCTGCATTTATTTGATCAGAAATTCAGTAAAAAAACAGTAATATTGTGAAATAATATTATTTTTTCTTTTAAATAATTGTATTATATATTATATAATTTTAAAGAGATCAAGTGATTTTTGTGTTCATGATATTTGTGCTTGATGAGAGAATGCTAATATGTTTTCAATTATTTTGCAGCTTCAACTGTGGAGAAAATTGGCACGATCCAGTGAAGTGTAAGGTGTGTTGTGGCAACATTGTCTGTTTAAAATCTTTAAGACCAACTGAAGTGGTACAACAATGCTATTAGTGTTTATATATAAATATGTCGAGTCATGGCTTTGTGTCATTGTACATGATTTTTATAGCTTTTCATTGTCAACAATGCCTTCTGTGTTTTTCACAGTTAAGGACCGTTTTGGCCGTTATTTCTGGCTGACAAACCTGGACCATACTTTTCCATAAATACCGTTATTTATTTAATTTCTCTACATTGATATTAACCTCAAAACCCTTTATGTGCATAAATCCCATTCTCTCTAAATACTGAGACAAAATGAGTAGAATGCCCCATTCCAATGCCATTAATAGACATCCATTCTGAAATATGTTAAGGACTGCTCTGAAAAAAACTAATGCACATTATAAGTGTAGTCATTTCAGTAGAAAGCAGGGGAATATGTTGATTTGGTATGGCAAGTGTTTTTCTGTCTGAACAAAGAAAGCTAGCAGACTGCCACCTCTCCTACTCTCAGCATTAAGAGGCTCTTCAGGGACTTGTCTTGTTATTGTGGGGGTAGTCTTGGCAAAAACGAAGGAAGCTTCTAGTCCCTTGTGCTTCTCATATGGGCATTACAATCATCTTCCACTGAGAGAGAACATTTAACCCTTCATAAGCACTTACACAACTCCATGCTCTTGTACATGTTTTTATATAATATTCTATCATGTGTACCTTACTTTTTAGTTGTCCTAATTTTTATGGTGAATTGTTTTCTGTATGTCCTCTGATGCTATTTTACCTCTCGTTCCCAGTGGTTAAGGAAATGGATTAAAAAATGTGATGATGACAGTGAGACATCAAACTGGATTGCAGCAAATACAAAGGTCAGTGGTTAGACTCATTTTGATGTGGAAAATTTTTCCCTGTGTCTTCCGATGACCCAGAAAAATAACTTTCTTCCTGTTGTGTTGCAGGAATGTCCAAAATGCCACGTCACCATAGAGAAAGATGGTGGCTGCAACCATATGGTGTGCCGGAACCAGAACTGCAAAGCAGAATTCTGCTGGGTTTGCCTGGGGCCCTGGGAGCCACATGGCTCTGCTTGGTAGGTCCAGGTGTTTGGTTGTTTAAGATTGTAAAGGCTTCATATTAACAGCTGAAAATGTATGAATTTTGAAGTATGTATCTGCAAGGATTGTGTATTGCAGTGACTTCCAACCTGATTAACTTATGCTTTGAGGTCAAATATGGATCCAGAAAACCTTTCGTTTCTATGACTCCTAACGATTAGCCACTGACTGGAACCAGCTAATAATCACTTTCATTGATTCGATACGTGATCTCTCAACTTGCTGATCACATTTTTATGATGCTGAAAACTTGAGCATATATGATGGTATAGCAAATATGAAAAACTCAGCGTCTACAAGGTGTTTAATTCAAACCACTTTATTAAATAACTCGTGGCCAGTCGACATAAACAATAGCTGATATTTAGTGTGCATACTGCTCTCTTTCCATTCTCTTCTGAAACTTTCTCTCACACAAACGTGTTCTCTTCATGAAGTGGAGTGACGTGACATGTGGCCAAGTATGGTGACCCATACTTGGAATTAGTGCTCTGCAATTAACCCATCAAAAGGGCACACACACAGCAGTGAACACACACCGTGAACACACACCCGGAGCAGTGGGCACCCGGAGCATTTATGCTGCGGCGCCCGTGGAGCAGTTGGGGGTTCGGTGCCTTGCTCAAGGGCACCTCAGTCATGGTATTGAAGGTGGGAGAGAGCGCTGTACATTCACTCCCCCCACCTACAATCCCTGCCGGGTTACGAGTCCGACTCTCTAACCATTAGGCCACGACTTCCCCAAAGTAAAGAGTTCATGAGTAAAGAGTTGCCAGATATCTGGAAAAAAAGTAACAAGGTCTAGTATATACAGTGACTCTGTATATAGTATATACAGAGAGCTGATATTACAAATATTCTGTAAAATTAAAAGGCAGGATATAAACACATCCTGTCGGACTGTAATTTTTATAATACTGTCAGAAAACGCTTCGTAATGTATCACCTGAATGTATTTTTTTTTTGTCAAGTTAAAATGTTTTATATAATAATTTAAAATTGTATGGATTATGATGCTGACCTTGTTTTTGCCATGTAAATATTCCCGATGTTTACATGGCGTTAAAAAAATAACCTAACAAACAAAAGGCAGGATATAATTTAATATGAATATAGTTTAATGTAAAATAATTTAAATATTAAATACATGCAATAAAATTACATGGAATTATAATAAATCATCAAAAATTAAATGACTTTTTTTAATTAAAGTTTAAATGTTACAAGATTAAATAAAAAGAATCTCTCTTTTTTTTAAATACCCTAACAATAAGAGAATTAGTTAGTTAGTTAGTTCGCCAAGTTGTCTGCATTTGAATCTTGAAGCTTTTGAATTAATGTGGATTGACAGTTATTCATAAGATAACAAGAGGGGAGAGGGGTTTGGTTTAGAAATACTTCACAAATACTTATAACACAGAAGCACAAATAATTTTTTAGGAATTTGGGTTTCTATAAATTTATTTTCATTTCTGTGGTTGAAGTATTTGTGTAAGCTTTATGAACCAAACACCTAAATAGAACTATCCACCAGTCAAATGTGACTTTCAATTCCCTAAATTCTCTTCTTAAAGGTAAACCTAAATGCTCCTCTTCTACCTTTTCCCAAGGCAACGTTTTCATTTGCACATCTTTGATCAACAGGTCCCACTTAAACTCGAGAGCTCAAAGGCTAGCTTTCTCCTCCTTGTTCCATAGAGTCATCCGTTAACAGATCACTTGCAAACATCACTTTGGAAAACCAAGAGTGACTCATTCAGCTTTTTTATTTTTATTTTACGTTCGTTTATTGATGTCTAAAACATTATTGGCTAATTGAACTTTTTTCTTGAACGTGTTTTTACTCGAAGGTACAACTGTAATCGTTATAACGAGGATGATGCCAAGGCAGCCCGGGATGCTCAAGAGGTAAATAATGTCAGTCCATTCGTGCTGAACATGCAAATTGTAGTCTCATTTTTAAACCTTTCATATGTTTGTGCGTTTTGTTCAGCGCTCCAGAGCAGCCCTGCAGAGGTACCTGTTCTACTGCAACCGCTACATGAACCACATGCAGAGCCTGCGCTTCGAGCACAAGCTGTACGCCCAGGTCAAACAGAAGATGGAGGAGATGCAGCAGCACAACATGTCGTGGATTGAGGTGCAGTTCCTGAAGAAGGCCGTGGACGTGCTGTGCCAGTGCCGCTCCACGCTCATGTTCACCTACGTCTTTGCATTCTACCTCAAGAAGAACAACCAGTCTATCATCTTCGAGGTAAACCAGTGATAATCATTTTTGAAAAGGTGTTGGATTGTGTTGTAAAAACATGAATAATGTCATATTAAATGTTTTGTGGTTTGTGTTTGCACCCAGAATAACCAGGCAGATCTGGAGAATGCTACAGAGGTTCTGTCTGGATACCTGGAACGAGACATCTCCCAAGATTCCCTGCAGGACATTAAGCAGAAAGTTCAAGATAAATACAGGCAAGTGTACACATTTTCTTTAAAGGGATAATTCACCCAAAAATAAAAATGGTCATCATTTACTCAACCTTACGTTGTTCCAAACCTGTAGGACCTTCTTTAAAAAAGATATTTTGAAGAATGTTGGCAACCAAACAGTTTCTAATATTTTCCACAGACCTTCTAGCGCCCTTCCTGGCCAGTTTGAAAACCCTTGACATAAAACAACTTTTATTTCATTCAAAGTGTGCATTTCCATGGATTCAAGCATGTCCATACTTTACAGGAAACTTTTGCATGCGTCTCTTTGTTTATAACAGTCCATGTTTTGATGCTCTTGTGTGCAGATACTGTGAGAGCAGACGGAGAGTGCTGTTGCAACACGTACATGAAGGCTATGACAAAGACCTGTGGGAGTACATCGAGGATTGAGGTTACATCTCCACACCACAGACTCTTGGAGACAAACTCCACCCACTAGAGTGCTGATGCAATGACAAATGAGCAGCACAGACCTCCGCTGCCGCCTCCCTGGCAAACCGCCCTGCATTGCATAATTTTTGCAGATTTTTGTTTCAAGAAAAGCATAAGAATAAATTATATTTAAATGAAAAAGTTAGAATATTAAAAATAAAATAATACATGTTCAACAGTATTGTTAGCAGCGTGAAGCGCAAGACTGAGAAATCCAACAAAAAGGCAAAATATCTTCCTTTTGCTTGCATTGTGAGATCTTGCCCTCGGAAATCTTTTCCCTCCTTATCAGTTATGTTTGTGGACGTGTTCTGTTTGACTTTATTTTATATACTCTTTTTGTGTGTGGAAAATGGACTTTGTTTTCAAAATGGCTTTAATCATTCTGACCATGTCTGGCGAGATCCGTGTTTGGGTTGCTGAATGTTGATTGGTTGATTGTAAGGAGGTGACTTTTCAGCTTACAGACCTTAGTGGAATAGAACACAAAAAACACCCTAAAAAAAAACCGGACAAAATCGGTATTTTTCAATTTGTAAATAATGCATATGCATGGAAGTTAAAGAGTACGAGTGGCATGTGTTTGCATCATTTTTAAAAGATATTTATCTTTACAGATATAACATTTTTTTAATATATTTGCTGTGTAGATTGAGTGTCTTTCCCTATCTTGGATCGCCCCTCTAAAGAGGTTTGGACTTGACATATGCTTGACATAAATCGAGAGTCCGTGTCTCTCCCTCCACAGGGATTGAGCGGGAATACATTCTGCCAAATTGAGCAGATCGTGCCAAGGTGGCGCTTTTTTCTGCCTACTAGGAGTCTTGTGAGAGCTTCTGGTTGGAGGAAATGAGGGTAGTTTAACTTTTGCTGCTTTTTCCAAGAGTTCAAACTTTTCAAACAGAACAGTGGTTTCCTCTGCTCTGCCTCCTTTGCTGTTATTCTCCTCCCTCCTCCCAGGTAGATTTAGTATCGTAATATGATTTTAAGTTAAATGAATAATTTCTGAGAGCCAAACTGAGTGACATTCACTCGTATAACCTTTTATATTTTTTCTTTTTGTCTCTCTGAAGTTTATTTTTCGATCCCGGCTCGAGGTTCTTTCTCTGCCCGTCCAACATGTACGTAGATGAAATTGTACTGATGGGCCTGTTGTGCTGCTTTCTTGACATCTGTAGTCAAGTGTTCTGACTGAGCCATTGACAAACAGGGTTAGACATTTTCCACATGATCGATTCTTTTGCACACCGCAAAACTAGTTGGAAGCCACGGTTATCTCTGCTGTGAGATTCCACACCGCTTTAACTCTTTTTGTGTCAAATAATCACGTTTGCACCCGCAATGGTTTCCAAAGGGCCGTTTGAGTCATGATATAGTTTCAGGGGATATGTGATGTAACCTTCGTACATGATGTTGCATTTGTGTACACTTTGTTCATGCAAAATTTTACAAATTGTGTGTGGATGCTCCGTGACCATCATTGAAGCTCTGACACCCTGTCTTCAGGGGAACAGAGGTGGGGTTCTGGGATAGACACAGGTGGGACAGTGTCATTGCAGATCAAGTTGGCATATTCAGACAACACCAAAGTGTCAGTCTCAAACTGGTGATTTTTTCCCCTCACTTTCTGCTGGAAGTGAGACTGATATATTGGCTTTTCTTTCTTCCTTTTTTTCTTTTGTACTTCAAATGTGCTCCATGAAAATAAATGTACTAAAATGCATTTTGCATTCAAAGTAATAGCATTCTCTTGCATTGTTGCCTGTTAATCCTTTTGCTTTGTGTGCTGGGAATGATTTCTGGAATGCAATTTTATTTTTATTTAAGTCTTTGTAATATGCCGTGAATGAGTGCTGAGAGGGTCTTCCAGGTATAAACATACATTTCATGCAAGCATATTGCAGAACAAGAAATGGGGAAAAAAGTTTGGCTGTTTACTTTGTAGGTCCCTGTAGTTTCTATTACAATGGGACACACGGTGTGATCTACAAAATATGGAATGGTTATACACTGCCACTGAATGCAGCTTAGTGTTTACCTGTCCCCTTCCGGTCACTGCTATTAAGTTACGCCTATTTGATCATGTCTGGAAGTTCATGAGCATCCAATTCATGGTAACAAAAAGCAGCTACTCTCATTTTGTTGAGACATCCAAAAACTTTTAATACTTTTCTACATGTATCCTTTCTTTATGCGATTCAATTTTTTTGATTTCTTATATACATAGTGTACAAATGTGTAAGAAATTAGTTGTTCATTTTGAAGAAAACGAATATTAAAGTGCAACATGTTGCAAACATTGCTTTAGTTTGTGTGCTTTTGTGTTTATTTCAAGCCTGTGTGTTCGACGCATCTTGGGTTTTTGTTGCTTTGGATTGTTTGTCAGTAACACTAGAAGATGTTTATGCTTTATATAGAACAGGATCTTATCCAAAGGATTAGTGCAGTCCACAAATAAGCACATGGATGTCATGACAGACATTTGAGAGTTGGATTTTAATGTTCACAATGTAAATGTCCACCAGAGGGAGACCAATCTTAACTGATTCATCTAAACCAGAAGTGACCAATCCTGTTCCTGGAGCTCTTTTTTTCTGCAAAGTTTAGCTCTAACTCTGGCCAAACACAACTGAACCAGCTATTTAAGATCTCCAGGAGCACTCGATAATTACAGGCAGGTGTGTTGGACCTGAACTCTGCAGGTAGGTCGCTCTCTAACGGGATTGGGCACCCCTGGTCTAAACTGAAGAACTGTAACGATAATAAAACATGGGCTTTCGAATTGGTGGACATTGTCTCATTGGTCAGGTATATGAGATTAAATGAGTTACTGGAGAAACACGTTAAGACGGCAAAATTTGCAACCAGACTTGGAGTATCTTTTGCAATTTCTTTTGAAAATGAAACCTACAGGACAAATGGGATGTAGAACAAATCACTGACATTGCTCTGTAGCATATCACTTTTTGTTGTTGTACTTTTGACCTCTCACTTTTAGTTGCTCTGGAAGTTCACAAGGAAACCACTTATTCCACTTATTTCAGAAAAATAAAAAAAAGGTAACTAAGAGGTTAAAGTCAAAATGTGAGATACAGTACTAATCAGAAGTCTGGGGTCAGTAAGTTTTTTTTTAAAGGTTACTTTTCTTCAGCAAGGACATTAAATGGATCAAAAATGACAGTAAAGACATTTAATGTTATAAAATATTTTTAATTCAAATAATTTTTGTTCTGAACCTTGTAAACCATGAACCATAAAATTTTTTTATGACTGCCACAAAAATATTAAGCCGCACAAGAGATTTCAAAGAAATTTTTGAACAACAAATCAGCATGATTTCTGATCATGTGACACTGAAGTCAAGCTGCTAAAAAAAATCAGCTTTTCCATCAGTAGTGAACTACATTTTAAAATATATAAAAACAGTTCTTTTAAATTGTCATTTTTCACAATGTTATTTTTACTGTATTTTTAATCAAATAAATGCAGCCTTGAACTTGATACTTCTTTCAAAAACATTAAAAAAAACTTACATCTGAATGGTAATACATGAAGTTGCAATTTCCTTTTTTTCCCTTAAAAAAATGTGTTGTACGTTTTAATTTAAAAAAAGCACTTCATGAAGAACTTGCAAAGGTGTTAAGTCAGGTATATAACATGACAGCAGCCAATATAAAAATAATTCTGTAAACAGTTAAACATCTTGCTATACAGTATTCCCTTTCATTCAATTACATGGAAAGCTTAAACACGGTTACCAACATGTCACCTGCTGGGAATGTTTGCCAACATTATAAAAAGAGCAACAACTTCACAAGTAACAACTGAAACATTATTGACACCAGAAACACAAAGGAGAGTTGAAACTGAACATACACTGCTTACATACAACAATGTCATGTTATGTCAAGTTTTTGGGTCGCAAAGAATAATTCAAGACTTATAAACATTTGACTGCTTCACTGCTCATCAATTCAGAGTATATTCCCATTTTTGAATCAATTCGGTTCTCGGGTGCAAAATAAAAACATTAATACCGTCAAGACTTAGTCCTCCACTTTCAACCATCCTTTCTTATAGTCTAACAGCAGCTCAAGATAGTACTGCCATTCAGGCTCACTATCATATTTGACCTCAAATACAGTTTTCAGTGGGTTGGTATGTGGCTCGTGGCTGCGCAGCACCACTCCTCTGTACCACACTTCTGTTTTGTCGTTTTCCTCATACAAATGCCGAATCCTCTTTCCCACCAGGTCAGGATATCTGTTCTCCATGGCCAGATGGGCAGACTGCCCAGCGGAGCGCAGGACCCATCTGCGTTGGTGCTTGGAACCATGTTTTTTGGAGAGGTATGGATTACTTTGAGAGTATGAACTGAAAGAAAACTCCCTGTCCTTGTGGCGCCTTTTGTGCCGGGATGATTTGTGTTTTTTTTTCTGTAATGATCGCTGTCTGTGCGTCTGAACCTTGCAGGAGCTTCCAAAGAATCAGTGACCTTCTGGTAGTGGGTGACTCTACCCCCGCGACCCTTATTGTAGAAGACCTTCCTCAGCTTGAGGACCATGCTGGAAGGCCCTTTGGACAAGCCCTGAGATTCTGCTGAGCAGGATCTGCGGCTCTGAAAAGACATCAATGATGTGCTTTCAGTCTCTTCACCGGTGCTATCAGAGGAGAAGTCATCAGAGGTCAAAGGTCGCCCCCAGGCAGAGTTCTCAAGCTCTTCTTGGGTTTCATCTTCGATCTTTACCTCCACATGTGGTCCCCTTTCATTGGAAGTCACAGGAGACACTTCCCATTCATCTCTCTCTAAGGAACTGACGACGCTCCATCTCGCTGGTTCCTCAGTGAACTCATCCTCTTGTGATGATGAACTGGTCTGCTCTAAAAATGTCCTTTCGGAGGAAATCTTTATTCTGCCTTTCTTTCTCTTCAGGCAAAGTTGTTTTTCCAGCTTGTCCACACATGTAAGAGGTCTGGAGGACTCGAGGTAGAATTCTTCAGTGCCATTCACACGACTGGCTGATTCATCTGAGCTGTCGGTGTTCTCTCTCTTCAATGTTAAGCTGGTTTCTACTCCTGTAGAAAGAAAAGAATCGTAATTTTGTATCAGCATTTCTTGATTGAAAAATATTAAAGCTAGATTACAATTAATTATTGTTAATTATTAAATATTATTATTAACCAATGGATTAATATCGACTAAAGCAGAATAGGGATAGTTCACCCTAAAAGTTATCATTTATCATCTCAAGTTATTCCAAAACTGTATGTCTTTCTTTCTTCAACACATACATTAAATACATAGAAATATTACCTATTATGTTTAAATATCCCAATATTCTTCACAATATCTTTTAGGTTCCACAGAACAAGAAAGTCATACAGGTTTGGAAAGACAAAGCTGCATAAATTTCACAATTTTCATTTCTGGGTGAACTATCCCTTTAAGACTCATTAGCATATTCAAAGTTTGCATAGAATGATCATTTATTCAGCTTTATTTAAGAAAATAGACAATCACTCAAAAATAGAATCACTCAAACAGAGGGTGCAGATAACAGGCAAACAGTAGCGCTCTCTCTAAAAAAAAAAACAAGGCATGATTTTCAGCAAATATTGAATC